CCTTTTTTTTTTTTTTTTTTTTAATTGCTTTGTGTTTGACCTCTCCATTCTTACACCATCATCTGAAGAGTCATCACACACCCCTGCCATGGATTGGGGACAGCAGAGATCATCTTTATAACACACCTAGTACATGATGCTATCACGCTCCATGCCCTGTCTCACTTTCCAGCCCGGCAAAGGCAACCCTCATCTGCCTAGAACATTTCCCCCCGGAAATGATTTCTCTAGAGCTCAGCCACACCCTCTCTGACCCAGAAGCTTCTGTCCGACCCAGAAGTCTATGCCAGTGGATGGCAAACTTTAGGGTGCATTGGAATCAGCTGGAGGACTTGTGAAAACAGATTTCTGGGCACCATCCTCAAACTTTCTGGCTCAACAGATCTAGGGTAGAGGCTGAAAATTCGTATTTCTGACAAGTTTCCAGGTGAATCTGATGTTGCTGGCCTAGGGATGACATTTTGAGAACACTTCATGATCCTGCAACAACTGGAGCTCAAACAGTCACCCAAAATGCACTATATTTTATCATCCGCCAAACTGTCTCTTTTTCCCCCCATATATAAACCCTTAGGTATCTTTTTTACTCCAGCCTATCACAGTGTCTGGCACCCAGTATCACTCAATATATAGTTGTGGAATAAATGACTGACTAGTAGCATAGTTAATTAGAGAAATAAAGGGAATGGGGGGAGCCCAAGACTCCAAAGCTTCAGCTCCTCCTATGATGGCCCCTCTGAATGAACAGTGCGTGTGATCCAGGCACATGCTTTATCATCAGTTGACTTTCATGCTCATAAAAGCACTAATGACACATTCTTATGAACTCAGAGGAACAAAATGCTCTTGGTCCTCGGCCTGGTGGCTCAATGGTTGGAGCACTGTCCCCTGCACTAAAAAGGTTGTGGCTTCGGTTTCCTGTCAGGGCACATACCTAGGTTCCGGGTTCCATCCCCGTTGGGGTCCTTACGGCAGGCAACAGGTGAATGTTTCTCTCTCTCTTGTCTCTCTTTCTCTCTCTCAAATCAATAAACATATCCTCGGGGAGGACTTAAAAATATACTCTTAGTCTGCCTGAAATAAAAATTAATTTAACATTTTATCTGAAATTAGTTACTTCTGATTTTTGATTGTGCTGTAGACATAAAGTCTATAGTGTTGACAGGTGCTTCAGCTCAGGCCTTGATGGAATATAGAAAAAGATGGGAGAACTGAAGTACAGGCTAACTTGGGTATGGAAGAGAATTCATAATCATTAATTCCACAAATATTTTTTGAGTACTTACCATGTGTTATGAACTTTACTGAACCCAACAGTGAACAGAAGAGATGTGATTAACTCAGGATTATAAATTAACTGAATACTTACCTATTTCAACTAATGACTTCCTGCTTAATTATTTAAAATATAAAAAATATGTCTTTAACTTTATTTTTATTTTCCATTTCAAATATAACAGAAACAAACGTTATCATGGTAAATTCTCCCTTTTATTAGTGCTATTAAGTGTTATTAGGAAGGAATTAATTGATGCCATTATATAAATAAAGATTAGTGGGAAAGTCCATGGGCGTGGCTTAGACTATAACTAACATTTAATAACAATTACATGTTATTTTTTCTAATAGAAAGGAAAAGGAAATACAGAGTTAAAGTATTAAAAGAAATGTGTACATAAAGACAAATCCATGCAAAGGAATGGCTAACGAGCTATGGGATGTTGGACGTTTGAAAGAGGTCACTAATTCAAGATTACTTAAATCTTACCTTAAGATTTTGGATAGAATTTGCAAAGAGTAGGAAATCTGGAAATATTTCCTAACGATAGGAAAAGATAACATATGGAAAAATAATACAAATCAGGGACAAAATTATATGGGAAACAAGAAAAAGAAACAATGGAGTACCATCCATCTATAAATAAATAGATAATAATTTTAAGGGTAGAGTTACCGTAAGATATTTCTCACAATTTTTTTTTTTGGTTTTGGTTTTCATAACTTTTGAAAGTCTCAAAATGCTTGCATCCAATACGGCAACATAGTATTCTGGCATTTCATGTTTTCATTTTAATTTGTAATAGATCGTATGTGGCAACAGATGCATTTTTAAAATGTTTTGACATATTAAACTTTTTAAAAGAACAATGTGGAGAAAAGGTATGTGGATTCATATTTTTTCTCTAAGAATATGACCATAATCTGCATCTCTCTATCTCTACAACAACAATGAAGGCTGTGCGTGCTCCTGAGAGCAGTTGGTAGTATTCGCTGCAATGGCAAAAGGAACAGTGATAAATAACTGAACGTTTAACAGGTGAGGCAGATGGGTCAAAAGGCCTGTTTTATTTATTTACAATAGAGCGTTGATTACCCAAGGAATACCTTTAGGGAAAAAGTTTCTTTGTCCGTTTTATTGGCTGAAGTAAGAAAAGCATAGTATGTGCATTTCCAATAAGAAAATTTGATTTAAAATGGTATCTAATATAAATAAAATAACTAATTAAAATAAATTCATAAAGAGGACATAGAAACCAATTGCACCAAAAATGGAAGCCTGGTAGATATGTTGATACCAATATTTTTTAAAAATGAATTAAAACAAATATTTATTAAGGCCCAAGGTGAAAAATACTGAGTATCTGAGGTGATGGCATCAATATTCCTAATAGGTATAGTCTACAAACCTTAAAGGCTCATGAGCCAAAATTAGGTGGTCACTTAGCTTCATTAAGCAAACATAGGCCCTACATCATAAAAAAAACATACATTTTTTTATTGAAAATAGTCATTTTAGATGGTTATGCCTTACATTCCAAATCGCACATTAAAAATGGGCAAAGTTTATAGAATACTTTTCTCAAAATTAATTTTTGAAATAACCCTGAAGAAATCATTTGCAGCCACTTTTTAGGGAATGGATAGAGGGGGGGTTTTTAAAAGAACAATCCGAATTTATTTTCTAGATTAAGATTAACCTCAGAGTAATAAAGCCTCTTTAATAAAGTACATTAACAAGTTTGTGCCAGGAGTGTGTGTGTTTCAAATCTCTAAGGGTGTTTGCTTTAAAATCCTGCTTGTGTGCATTAGGAAAGCACCCCCTTTTGTTTCTTAAACTTTTTCAGCCACAGGATTTACTCATCCAGTGTTCAAAAATTAAAATAGTACAAAGTCTAAAACCAGATCAGAAATAAATCCAATTGGGTAATATAAAGACTTTAGACGTGAAAATCAGACGGAAAGCTGATTTTCTCTGTGCTGTATTGTCTAATACACTCTCCTCAGAGCTTCTTACTGGCACAGTAGCAGCCCTGCCCGATTATAGTCTCAGAACCCAGAGATCCAATGGCCCTAAAGCATGTGGTGCAAGAACTATGCGAGATTTCACACAGATTCTGAGCTTTTGCCTCTTGGGATGCTCCTTAGAAACATGTACTCTGCTAGCTATAGATAAGTTATTCAGGCGGTCCGTGTTTCTGCCTGAATCCTGGCAAGGAACAAAAAAGGCTTCCTGGAACTATAGTTTTTAAGAAAGTACTACAGTTCTATCAAATGCTGGATTAACTTCATCCAAGCAACCTGGGAAACACCAGCGACCGTTGTTCTGCTTAATTCTTTCATGAAGTCACTGATTTCTATCAGTGTAATGCCTTTTCTATTAGAAAACTTTGAGCTATGTTCCCCTGGCCTTTTTCCTCCTTAAACTTGTTTCTAAGTTTATTTAGAAAACCTTTTTTTTTTTTCCTGTTGCTCTTCACTTTAATCTCAAGCTGCTCTGAAAACACTAGCTGAGACCTGAGCAATGAGGACAGAGAGAGAGTTTTAACACATTTCGAAAATTCCATTTATTACTTTCCCTGGTGTCATTTTGCCTTATAATCAATTATAAATACAGCAGTAAATCCACCTGTCTATAATAAAAGGTACTACTTTTAACAAATTAGGTAAATGGTACCATCCATTGCTGTTAAAGACTGGGAAAACAGGTTTCCTGGTGTGCTGGCTAGAGCATAAAATGGGACAAACTTTCCTACAAGGGATTTGAAAAAAACATTTCAAAAAGCATTAAAAAAGCTGTAGGTTCTTTAGCCTGGGAAGTACTGTAAAACAAGGCTTTATTGCTAAATTGTTCATAGAAGCATCAATATCAGCAAAAAATTTCAAAACTTTAAGACTGAATAAATAAATTACTGCACATATATATGATGACTTGGAGAGAATTACATGGGAAAATTCTGTGTAATGAAAAGGAAATTTAAAATTGTATGTATACTATGATTCAATTTTTGTTAAAATATTCTATGTGTCTGTACATACATAGAAAAATGTCTGAAGCTCACACCAAAACATTATTTTTCTAGAATATGCTCTCTCTAGAAGTAGAGATAATTTTTCTTTTTTCCCCAATTTTGTTTCTATTTATTACAATGAGCATAAGTCATTTGAGCAGTATGAAAAGTTTAAATGTTATTTAAACTATTGAAAGGCAAAACAAATCTAACCACAGTGAATAACTAGCACTTTTACAAATTTGCCTTGTGCAATGTGATCAGCAATTTATATAATAAAACCTAAAAGTCAAAAGTAGTTTTCATCTGAGTGAGCAGAACAAGGGGACTCAAGATTTAGATCTATAAGTGATGGGATGGATATGAAATTACTTCCATCCTTAAATTACTAAAATGGAGTTTCCCGACACCAATATCTTGCCTCAATTTTAATTCATCAGGATGACATATCCAGCACTTAATATTGCTTTTTCTGTCATAGCCAACATACAAATCAGAGAAATCTTTCCCTCCAATCACTTCCAAAATTGGTGATATCTATTCTTTACTCAGTTGTTCTCACATTAAAATGGATTACAACTTAATTTTTCGGAAACAGCATGCTTAAAAACCTGAGTCACTGTCATTGAGTGCGAGTCAATACTTGAAGGCCACTGAATACTTACATCACTCCCTAGCCCATCAGCACCTGTACTGTGGATGTCAGGATACTGCTTCAGAAACTGGGCTACATAGGTCATAATAGACTTCTCATCTGGCTTATCCACATCCACATCTGGAAAAAACAAAACAAATGTGGGTAAATTAATTCACATCTATTAGATTATAATAATACAAGCTTTAAAGTCTAGCCAATACACCAAAGACACTGTCTTAAAGGCACAAGAAAAATAGAATTGATGTTTAGAGACTTTTTTTTTAGGGGGAGGAGGCAAATGTAGTCTGAAGGATACATGGTAGAAATTTTATAATTCATAAAAATGACATTTTAACTAAGAGTTTATAGGAAAGTAGTACTGTTTCATTGAGAATTCAACATTAATCTATCAAGAACCTGAGCTACTATATGGCTATTCAGGCATCCTGTCTAGTTAATAAAATAAACATAATAGGTAAGTTTCAGAATCATGATGGGTGGGTAGTATTTAAACCGCAGGTGTGGCACTCAATAGCAAGTGACTACATAGCTTGTGTAACTACACATGGAGTTGAGGGCTGAAATACTGTGTGTGGCTTTCCCCTTGAGCTGAGTAAGTGTACTGGATACTATTGGGCCTTTTTCTGTACAAACAAGGTGGAAAGCCTTGGCTATCATAGTGAATCTAGGGGCCCAAAGTAAACTCCAAAAGGGGTAGGGATCACCAGGCTGCTCCCCCATCTCAGAGGAGGCTAACCAGGGACCTGTAAGTTTCTGTAACTTACTCTTGGAAACACAAGGGTCTCCTCTTAGACACTATTTTAGTGCTAGAAATGCCCATTCCGAAATCTCACCTTTAAAAACAACTTGTCTACACTGTATTTACATTTCTGCATTCATTAATAAGATTTCCATAACTGACAACTCAAATAAGATATTATCTGTGACATTTGGAAAATGAACTTTGACACTTTTACTTCAATACAACAAACAACTCATTTTATTAAAGTCATCAAAATTGTCTTTTGAAGGCTTGAAAGAGTTAACTCCACTTCTAAAAAGTCTTAAAATTCAGTCTTACCAAAAAGGTGCCAAACAATTGCAATGAAAATTATGTAGTTTTCTGATTACAACCAAAACACTGGATGGTATCAACACTTCTAAGTGTTTAATAACTGATGTTTTTAAGGTATGATCTTAGATTACTAATGGCCTTTTATTTCTTCCAGATTCTTTGGAGTTATACAAATGGACTAGTTCCTTTACCCTGTGACACCCCATCCCTTTAAACACACACTTGTAAAACTTTCATTCCACCCATAAGTACAATGAAGAAGTACAGTTCACCTCACTGAGCCACCAATGTCAGAGTGTTGTTTGAAGCAACAGAGCTATATTTTGCTACCAATTATAACACCAAAAATTTTTCCAAAAGAAAATCAGTACAGGAAGATACTAGTTATTTGTGCTTGTCTCAAATTCTCTGGCCTCTCACAGGGTGTTGAAAGTCATCTGTAATTTCTGGGTGTGAAGCGTACAAATCTACTGAGCTGAGCCAACAATACTGAACTTACCTTCGGGATCTAGTAATCTGGGGATCCCCAGTTCCGTTTCAGCAAGAGTGAAAGCTTCCTCCAGGTTTTCCCGGTTAGATCTTCCTTTCACCCTCTCCAAGTCCACGAGCTCTGGTCGAATAGCATGGATGACTGAATGAAAGGCAACTCCGTTTCTCCAACTCCGCCCAAAGTCTTTTATTTCTATTCCAGTCTGCCTTTATGAGATTAAAAAAACAGAATAATGTCACAGTCTGAATAGATAATATGCATTTTTCTCGAGGCCTCTTGCAGAATCCAATATCCTATAGCAATAAATGATATGTGGTTAGCTAAATCAGTTAACTGGTTTTCAGAAAAATTAAGCAAAACAATATTTTTAGAAGGAAAGGAGATAAGATGTAAAAATTCTGGTTCCATACTTAAAGATTTCTATATTAGATTTTTCAGTGCAATTTGAATCATAAAAATATACACAAAATTAGAAAACCACCAATACACTTAAAAAATTAAACAAAACTATATAAATTAGTAACACTAATTATATCTTCCTTATGTTTATTTTTGTTTCTCCTCATTTTTGCTTTTCAAACACTTTAAAAATAGAACTTCCTATGTTTAGTGCCTCCATATTTTATAATGATCAGTACTTGTTTACAACTACTTTCCGGAAGTAAAAAATAGGACTCAGATTAGAGTTGGGCACTCAAAACAGAACAGAAAGTGAGTTAAATTTACACGTCGTTTAGGAAAATCACACAAAAGCACAGCTTCTATGTGAACAGATCTTACCACTGACAGCCTCTCACCACAAAATATTGGTATGATTAATTGAGAACTCTATTGAAATTGCACTTTTCTATCCAGCATCATCACACAAATGTACAGACCTGTAAACTTACTACCTAGAAGGAAACAAAACTAGAAGCAAATTATCCATCCATAAAGCTGGAGTTGACAAAGGAATCTACATTCCAGATAAAAGATGAAACCAAAGGATAACATTTAAAAAATAAAATTGCTAGAAACTTTTAGGAAATAAAAAACAAATATAACATTCCAAAATGTGAACCTTAGTTCATATTATTATTCAACAGAACCCAATAGTCTTACAATGAGATAACCACGTTTAAATCTTAAAACTTATTTGTGTAAAGGTTATTTAATAGGAGTAAAAGTCCAAACAAATGACTTTAATAGCATAAGCCCTCATGCTATTAATCAAAGTGTAGGGATTAAGTGACTTCATTAATCAGGCCCAACGACGTAGCTGAAGAAGGAATTGGCTTTACTACAGCACTTTCCCAGAGTATTAGTGATGACACACGTTTGTATTTTAACTCAAGGAAAGAGTGAAAGACGACCTGAAGCAAAGCCGTTCACTCAGGTGTCTCTTCAAACTTTGCACTCACTGAAGGCCACACTCACTGAAACACGTAACTCACGCTATTCAAGGGTCTCAAGTTTAACCAGACTCTTGGTCCTTACTTGGCTGCTGTGTGCTGAGCCCACTTTAACAAAGCCTTCTTAGCATTTCCTTGGGTCCTGGTGGCCACCTTCCGTTTGCTGGGGGGGCTGGCGGTCTCCGAGCTGACCGTGCTGTCCACGGAGGAGGTGCTGCTGGACAAGGACTCCAGTTCCGGCAGGTTGCTGGTCAGCTCCTCAATCTGTGTGCGTGGCGACAGCCGGTGAAATATTAGAACGATCTCTGCCCTTTCCTCAGACGCCTCGCTCTTCCAACTGAAAATGGTTTATCTGAACATCCTTAACACTGCCGACTACACGTAAGCTCTTAAAGGGCAGGACTGATCCTTACCCTTCTTTGTATTTCCTGCTGCATGAAAAACTGTATCTCTGCACCTTATATGCAGTAATAAATACTCGTTAAATACACGGGAATGAATAAAGAAAGCCTCATGGTTATGCAAACCCGTGGGGTGCACAACACCGAAAATGAAGCCTCATGTGAGCCACGGACTTGGAGCGACAATGATGTGTCCACATAGGCCCATTAGTTGTACAAATACACCGCTTCGATCATGATGTTGGGTGTGGGGTGGCTGTGCATGTGTGGGTGCAGGGTTACAGGGGAAGTCTCTGTGCCTTACGCTCAGTTTTGCTATAAACTTTAAACTGCTCTAAAAAATGAAGTGTTCTTCTGGATGGAATGGCAAGTCCATTTCTCCCCTTAATGTCTAATGGGATCACAGAACTGCTCCCTTCCAGAGAACAAAGACAATCTTCTGAACTTCCTGCTCCAATATTTCATCTTCACTGTGCCCTGCCCACTTTTCAGATTGGGTACGGATGCCAGTTCTTTGGGGAGGTACATAATAATACCTTTACAGGGAAGAAGAAATTCTGCTACCAAAAATCAATGTATGTGTGAAGGTCAGATTTCTGCCAGCTTCAGAATCAACCCCAAAAGTGTGGCAAATGACAGCACTACTAAAATGCCCACCACTACATCCCCCCAGAGTGTTACATCAACTGACAAGGGAGCTACAGCTCAGTACCTGGAAATAGAGAATGATGGTCCACACCAGTCCAAGCACTATCGAGGGACGGCCATCAGCAATATCAGTGGAGTTAATGTTGACTAGTTTAATCTGTTTAAAGAGAAACACTGTCCTAGTAATGCACTAGAAGGTTATACCCCATTTAATTATGCAGTGATGAGCACTTTATTAGACATCAGTAGGACTTGGTCATGCCCGGGTAGTGATACACACGGGTAAGTAGGGTGAGCCATAATAAAAACTGCAAGCACGTGGTTTCAGTGGGAATTTCAGGAGCATTCATTAGGTGCACACGACAAAATTAACCACAAAAGAAAATAAAAAACTTTAAGGTGAAAACATAGGACATCATGCAAGGAATTACCAACAAAATGCCAGACAGAAAAAAAAACAACCCACAAGTTATTCTTTACATTCAGAACTTGAGGGGAACTTAAAAGGAACTGTGATGAATAGTTTAAGAAGATACACTTACTTTGAAGTTTGTTACCAAATAGCATGAAACTTATGTTCTCTTTTACCTATAAAAGTCAGGAGTTAAAAATTCTAAAATGTGTACTAACCGGTGATCCTCTGTACATGGACTGACATGTAAAGCAAAGGAACAAGATGATACACACACATAAATAACCTTCGAAAGTCAGCATTATTTGTTCAAAGGGGGTAAAAATGGAGGAAGTACACTTAGAGCAGTTTTGGAGAATACATTTTAAAGGCAAAGGAAAGCCAAGAAATAGTAAAGTGGAAGGAAATTGTTAGTGGTCGGTTCCCTACTTTTGGGCACTGATAACTATAAAGTATTCAAGACACATGTTATTCTGTCTGCAGTTGTTCCCAATTATTTATTGCAATGCCTTCCCAACTATCAAAGGAGTTATTTGCTAAGTCCTAGCAAAATGGATTTTATTTGTAGATCGCCATAGAATACAATTAGAACTCCTCCTCCTACTCATCCTCCTCTTCATAATCCCCAAATACAAAAAATAGTAACAAAGCAGTCCTTAAGCTTCTAGCTCAGTATGTCTCAGCAACAAGTTCTTGAGCTGTTCTATTAATAGTAATAAAGTTCAGAAGTTTGTAAGTGGCTTACTTTAATAAAAATTTATCAGATGCAAAATCATCTCAGAAATTCTTTACTCAAGTAATTAAATTTGCTAGTTAAATATCAAAAAGGGGTAGAGTAAAAAGCCAACACAAACATGGTTGGAAATCATTTGATTCACATCTATGGGATTTTGTCTCACTGGTAATTTTCATTCATCATGTTCAGAGAGAGAGGAAAACTGAGAACTGCCATATAGATTATCAGTTCTTATGTGTCTACTTGTTTTAGGCCGAGCACAGTGTAAGACATATAACTCGTTTGCGGAAAACAAGGAACTTCAACTTCCTTTAACCTCTTATGACAGAACCTATTGCAATCTTTATAATCATTTTGATTACTCTGTTTCACAACTCCTCCAGAACTTTCTCCACATTCATTTTAGTATCCATGGACCACAAATTTATAATATATCCTAATTACTGTAAGATTACAGTCCACCCTCTGTATCCTTGGGTTTCAACTGCAGATCAAAAACATTCTAAAAAATTAGTTACATTGTTGCAGACATCTACTATGTAGCTAGGTTGTGCTTGCAGTGAACATGTACAGACTTTTTTTTCTTATCTTATTCCTTAACACAGTACAACAACTATTTACATAGTATTTACATTGTGTTAGGTATTGTAAGTAATCTAGAGATGATTTTAAGTATACAGGAGGACCTATGTAGTTATATGCAAATACAACGCCCTTTTACGTAAGGGACTTGAGCATTCTTGGATTTTGGTATCTGCGGGGTCCTAAAACCAATCCCCCACAGACACTGAGAGACCATAATGTATCTCGTAGAGGACAGATCATTTCCCTTTCCTCCTCTCATTCTTTTTTAAAATGTGGTTGACTATAAGTTGAATTTCCTACCTCAACTGTGCTATGAAGTTAACATACTCAACATATAGAACCTAATGACCTTTTGCTCAACTTGTTAAAGAATTGTTTTTAATAATTATTTTCCCTCCTAAAAACTGTGTGTTCCACAATGGGTTACAAAGCACAGGTTTGTTTGTTTGTTTTTTACCTCCTCTCCTTTGCAAAATCCTATTAAACTTAAAATGAATTCTTAATAGCCTAGGAGTTGGGATGGGCAATAGAGAGACATCCAAAGAGACTGAAAAATTTCCAGAAGCTAGAAAGAGGATGGGGTCACATTAATGAATAAAACTAGGGAAGGATATTGGGCCAGTGGTTCTCAAAGTAAGCTCCTGAGAGCAGCAGCAAACACATCACTGTGACCTTGATAAGAATGCAGAACCTGGGACCTCACCCCAGACCTGCTGGACCAGAAACTAAGGGAGTGCAGCCCAAGAATCTATTTTAACAAAACCTCCAGGTGATTCTGACACACGTCAATGTTTGAGAACCCTGGACTAGATCATTGTACTTGGCTCACATAATCTGAAAAATGTTGATTTTGCAAGCCAGAGACCAGTATGGATTGAGCTGTGTGCCCCCCTAAATGTATATGTTGAGGCCCTAACCCACAATGTGACTGTATTTGGAGGTAGGGCCTCCAAGGAGGCAATTAAGGTTAAACAAGGTAGTAAGGGCGAGGCCCCAAAATTACAAAAGGCTAAATCTAAGAGGATTGTGCAAACATTTTTGGAGGGAAATAAGGCAATATCTAACAAAACTACGTACACACTTACCTTTTGACCCAGCAATCCACTTCTGGGAATTTACCCAGAAAATGCACTTCGGATAATGTGGAAAGTATGTATGTACAGTTATTAACTGAATCGTTGTTTCTGCTTGAATAACGTTAGAAGCAACCTAAATGCTCATTCATAGGAGAGCGGTGACATAAACTCTGGCACATCCAGACCGAGGAATACTATGCAGCTGCGAAGACCAATGAGGAAGACCCCCACGAACTGACTCGGTGGCTGCCCGATATGCTACTCAATTTAAAAAGCAAAGCGCAAAACTGCATCTATAGTACACGACCTTCCTGTACAAAAGAAGGTGGCATATGAAGATACAGCTGCTCATCTGTGCAAAAGACATACAGGCATGATATACGAGAAGCTGGAGCGACAAGCCACCTAGAAGTGCGTCTGTGCTTTAGTTAATAGTTTCAGGCCAGTTTGAATTTCTGTATTTTGACGGTTGTACCATGTGTACATACATGTACCATGTATAACTTCTTAACAGTAGAGGGAGCCGAATGAAGCCCAGGAATGAAATCTCGGTACCCCCTTTTGCCACTTCTCTGTAAATCTAAAATTACTTTTACACTAATACTGCACGTGTGTGCTGTGGAGATTACATGCAGGGGTTTTACGCCGCACCCAATATTGGAAACATCTGCCTGCCCACACCTTCTCTCTCAAGTGTTTCGCTTTGTTTCCCTCACCTTCCTTCCTTCGAGGAACTTGAGTGCGGTGCCGATGTTGGCCACGGCGTGGATCCGCTTCATACGGCGCCCCTGTTCACAGGGCTGTGAGCAGAGGACAGGGACAGATCACAACGCACGCACTGAAAAGACAGCTCAGCAAAAACTAAAGAGATAGCTATAAAATTGATTTAAGTGAATTTAACCCTTTGCGGTCGTATTAAATTTGGACATGGGTGTCGTACTGGTCGGAATTAAGAGCTTTCAGAGAAATTATGAACTGATACATGAATGAATAGAGTTAAGATTTGTACGGTTCCTTGCTGTGGTGGCTGAGAGTAGACATATGACCGGAACGGTAAAAAAGCTTTGGTGGCTGAGAGTAGACAAACGACCGCAGAAGGTTAAATATACTTGAAGGATAGTCTAGCAAAACCAGCATCATTCAGTTTCTATAAAGGTGGGCAGGTACACCAAAGGGCATCACCCACACAGCCCCTTGACAGTGAACCCGTTTCCTCAATAAAGGCATTTCTCCTCGGCTCATCTGTTAACGCACTTGCCTGTCAGGTTGCTGTATGTCTTAGAGCAGAAATTCACAAAGTTCCTACGCTGTCTACTGAGCCTGTTACTCCTATAAGTTAGGAAATATTTACGTGAAAAGCACTCTTGCTGTAGGTGTGAGGCCCGGGGTATGTAGGAGATCTCGGCACTTTTCTCGTAATTTTGTTGTAAACCCGAAACTGCTCTAAAAAAATGAAGTCTTTAAAAAAAGTACTTTTGGTCACTCACCATTTTTTTTTCAGTTATCCTAACATGGAAAGTTATTGACAATATTATAACATTTCTAGGTTTGGATGAGCAAAATACACGGAGCATAGGAGCCCAGGTTAAAAAGCAGGATTGTGGGAATGAAAATCTTACACCACAGTGTGTTCTGACCCGTGTTTGAGTTACTAAAATTTATCATGTGCTTTCTGTGTACCACAATGTTAATTTTAAAGCTCAAAACAATGTCAGTGAAGTAGACAGCATTAGCCTCCCCTACATGGACAGGAGATAAGTGGGTAATGAAGGTGAAGGAATTTCTCCATGATTGCACAGCTGGTAAACTCATCTCTTCTCTGTGTTACCCAGACCCAAAATAATCTTCCATCAAAGCTCCAAACCGAGTATGTTTTACTTCCCAATTATAGTGTTCCAGGTATGAAATTTTTATGTTATGATTTTAAACAGGTATTTAAATAGAAAACGTAATTTTTAAATTTTTTACTTTTATTTATTCTTTACNCATCAAAGCTCCAAACCGAGTATGTTTTACTTCCCAATTATAGTGTTCCAGGTACGAAATTTTTATGTTATGATTTTAAACAGGTATTTAAATAGAAAACGTAATTTTAAATTTTTTACTTTTATTTATTCTTTACTTGGGAACCTCTATCATACACGACATAATCCTATCATTGGTCCATACATGGCCTGTTTAGTTATTTACGCATTGGTTGAGGGTCCTTTGGGACCCTTAACTCTCCTACACTTGAGGGCTGCCTGGTGCAATTTGTGGCGTTGATAAGCCTGGAGGGCAGAATCCCAGAGACATGCTACCAGAGCTTGAGATCAGATGCTGGTGGAGGGTATGGGTAATACCCACCCCTGCCTGGCTGAAATCAGACATGAGCAGAGATGACACCCAGGCCACAGAAAGCATCTGCTACAAGATAAATCAAATTAGAGAACCTTATGCAACACTATTATCAGTTTGTATTTTTCAATAAACAACTCTTTTCCAAAAGCTATTTTGAGGACTCCCTTCACACAACTAGATAGTTATGTTCAGGCAAAAGCAATGTTTTAAAAACTGAATTACCAAGTAATAACGATTGTGTGGCTCTTGTCAAGATGCACGNCAACTAGATAGTTATGTTCAGGCAAAAGCAATGTTTTAAAAACTGAATTATCCAAGTAATAACAACTGTGTGGCTCTTGTCAAGATGCACGAGATAAAGAAAAAGAATGGGTTCTCCCAACTCCCAGCCCCGTGTTACACAACGTTACGGAGACTGTTTCCTGAGCTTCTCTTTTACATTCTGGTAAACATCATTTATAAATAGTTTATGTTTGCAATCTACTTATTCTCTACCACTCTGAAATAAAAATAAATATAAGCCAGAAAAGAATTTTATTATTTGAGTAATGTAGAAACATCTTACAGCTCACTGTCAATTTGTTTTTTATTTACTCTGCTGGTTTCGCTGTGTATAAAAGCAAAGGATTCAGAACGTGCTGTTCCTGCGCGAAATGACTGATGCTGGAGGATGTCCCCAAGCTTGTGCGAAAAGTGCCACGTGGGTTTCAGCTTACCTTTGAACGAACAGCTGTATAAGTACCAGGTATGGACTACAACCCTTTCCAAATGACAAGCAAACGCTTAAAGTGAGGTAGATGCGTGTTTGTAATTAAGTTTCCAGGCACCACACAAATGCAACAATTAACCACGATGGACTGACTATTGAGGAAGTCTCTGAAAATGCTTCTAAGGTTGCTATTACTATATACAATGTTTTAAATCCTCTAAAGGTGGGCAGGAGCAAGAAAGGGAATGTATTCCTTGCTCCTGAAGCGACCAATAGACTAGTGTTTCCTGCGTATTACTGACTACAAAAGAGAAAATCATTATCTTATAGGGGCAGAGTCCTTTACACTCCCAACTCCACACCCACCAATTCCAAATAGGAAGAATTTGACGAGTCTGGTTACGGGAAAAATTCTTACCAGTTTCTGCCCAGACAAGACTTCCAGGAGAGCGAGGAGCTTAACACCATCTTTCATGTCTTCAAAAAGATCTTCTACCAGCAGTGGGGGTTTCCGCTATAAAATAAAATAAAACAATAANGCTTAACACCATCTTTCATGTCTTCAAAAAGATCTTCTACCAGCAGTGGGGGTTTCCGCTATAAAATAAAACAATAAAATAAGCAAAAACTGCCTTTTTCTCTGCCATTGCTTTGCTACTACTCACTGTGGTGAAATTTGTAGGAGAAATTCTAAAATACCGAAATGATTTATTTTGGATACGATTGGCAACTCCCTTTTTAGCTGTAAGGAGGGAAACAATCCTTTGGACATAAACTTGACATTCAAAAACTTCAGGAGACTTGATGCTGGGGCTCTCACGTGCACACCAGCATCTTTCTGGAAAGGGGTTTGTTTTGGCCAGGATGGGATGGCGTGGAATAAGGGAAGGAAAAGAAGGTACTGCTGGTGTAAAAGATGGGAGACATTAAAGCAGGACCTAAATGGGGAGCAGGAGGTGCCCCAGGCAAACTGGGCCAACCTTCCAACGTCCCCGAGCGTGCCTATTACAGGGGCTTAACGCAGGTGCGGCACTTCCACAGGACAGTCTTTCCCAGGTACGCTTCTAGCTCAGTGCCCTGCCAGGGGCGCACTGTTGGCAGAGCCACGGGCACAGATTTCATCTCCCGCGGACTCGCGCGCTAAGTCTGCTTCACAGCCTGGCAAACCTTCTCTCACTGTGGCTCTGAACCCCGCGGGTCCCAGATGCCAGAGTACAGACTGATCAGCGCAAGACCACAGCCACTACTGGGAAAATAAGTCAAGGCCCACTTTCAGTTCATGGAGGGTCTGTTATTGTTTACGAAGGTCAATAAAATAATATACTGGGGTTCGCCAACTGGACTTAAGGTCTGTCTTGGCTCAGAAGAAAGTAAAGACATGATGACGCTCATGTCAATGGTCAACGGAGGGTCAGGGTCCTCCGATTTCTCAGAGAATCACAATTTTTTTCTATTTATCACCTGGGGTCATCTCTACAGCTTTGTGATTCTGAGTCATGTTAAAGGCGTGATGCTGGTTTCCTGACTTCCAAATATCTTTCTTTAATAAAAAAGAAAGCAATGTCTATGTAGAGAAATTTAGTCGCCAAGTATTTTATTGAAATGTGGCTTTCTTTTCTACCCACTGATATGAAGCATTTACATGTCTCTTATGACTGCATAGATTACAGTCTCTGAATGGTACAATTCTAATTTTAAACATAGTTTTTCTCTCTTTATAAACTGAACAGCTGAATACATTTTGTTCTCATGCTGTGAAATACATATTCAAAAATAACGGTTTTCATTTACAATCATTCTTGTTTAAATTCCACTGTTGACACTGCTTATTATTTATATAGCAAAAATGTAACAGCGACTGTATATTCTAAGCATACAAAATTATTCAGAATAAAATGAGCCATTACAATGAAAACTATCCAGTGCAACAAGAATCAAAATTATTGTATGAGATACATAATCATCAGAACTATGGTCTCCTTATCATTGCAAATGTCCATTCGTATCTTAGAATTTAAAAACAGTGGGAAACGAGGAAAAACGTTCATGCATATGTAATCTATTCAGTGAACAAATGCAAATAAAGTTTTTCATAGATTGTGTTAACCTGAAAATATATAAAGGAAATTAAACAAAGCAGGGGATTTTCATGAAATCATAAACAACCCAAGAAATCTGACACCGAAAAAATGATAATTGCATCCCTACGTCCATACGCAGGTCTCTGCCACTTCGAAGGACACTTTCTCTTGACCCCGTTTCTGCCTGTCCTGCTTCTCCTCTGGCGTCTCTGCTGGTGTCACCTGCTTCCTTCCCCGCCAGCTGCTCCTGCACGTGGCTCCTGGGAGTGGCCCTCACACCAGCAGCGGCCGCTGAACAGTTCAGCAGCCCACTGGCCTCTCTGCTCTGGGCACTGTGTTACCACCCTCTCCTTGACCTGGTCCTCCCCAAGCCTCTTCGACTGGCCCGCCTGACTTACAGGCCTCTTTCCTTTCTCTCTCCTTTCTTCCTATCTGTGGCCAATCGCCAAACTCAATCCCAGCTCCTCTGGTCTTTACAAAATGTTGCCTGGATGGACACGACCCTCCCACCCTTCTTTCCACACAAGTGTTCTCTCCTAAGCACTGCTGAGCACAGAGCAGGCACCCAATGTGTGCTGTTGGTTGATTGACTGAATGAATGAATGAATGAGTCAGTGAATATAGTTTTCTCAGAAAAATCATCTTTGTAAGCTCTTTGCTCATCTTCATGGAACTTTAAATGTGGTGCATGTATTATGGGCAAAGAAAAATGGTCTCCAGGTCTAGGAAATCACAGGCTGCAACACAACACAGGCCTAGAAGTTTCTGGTTTCCGAATGCCTTGTTCACTGTAGGAACTCGAATACTTGCTGAAGGAATGAATGCGTTTTTCAGTTTTTGCATGGAAAAGAGTAGATGGTTTTTATTTGAACACAGATACCTAGAACACCTTCACCTTCCTCTTTTTCGTCTTAGCAAATTCCTGGTCAGTTTTCATCGCTCAGTTCATATGTAATCTTTTTCAGTTATCCAACTAGAATTAATTAACTTCTTCTGTCCTAAGTGTGCTGCTCAGATCACAAGGCTCACATTCTTTTATACTTAACTAAGTACAAATCTGTGTCCCCAGGAACTCAGATCCTGAGAAGTGGGATATATCTTTATACACTTAGTCCCAGGCACAGCTCTTACTTAGCACTAGTTGTCAGTAAATATGTAGATAAAACACACTCAACAGGGGTATTTACAAATGTCTTCTGGAATCTTAGGGAGATATGCACAAATACATCATGATGCCAAAATTTCTCTTTTTATAGGAAACATGAGTTGCTTCTGGACACTTTCCCACCGGTGTCTTCCTACACAAAGTGCAGAGGTGCACTCTGATGGCTATTAACACACAAAATAGAAATTGGGAGGAAAAATACGTTTAAAATACAAATACTTATGTCAATCATATGACATCAATTAAGGTGAAAGAAGTTCTGGGTGTTAGACTGAAACCAGCAACGTAGAAGAATATCAACCTACCTTGAAACATTACTGGCAAACCACCACTTTATCAGCAGATCCCCGCATCTGCTAGAATCTAAGCGTCCCTGAGTGGCAGACATCACATAGCCATCAAGGAGATTTACAGCATGAACGTTTTCGTCTTTAGCCAAGAAGGGACATAATCACCGATCTCATGCCAGGAGCAGCCCAGGCCCTCACTTACTATCAATACTTTGAGTCTCAGAACAACTGGGCAGTTTAAATGCTGTGTCTCCTTCGAGAACAAGCTCCCAAAACATCCTATGACACAAAAAAAAATAGCGACAGCATCTGGCTTTAGAACATTAAGGACATATCCTAGGGCTTAAAATGTGCAATCGCTAGGTACCTAGTGATACCAATAAAACGGAACTAGAAAAAGCCTAAAGGACAGCTGATGGCACAGACAACTCTTTACTCCAGTTGGGACACAGCCTCCACAGAACACTGTCAAGCTTGGGGGAAACGACAGTCATCGCCTGAGAATTTCCCAGATGGCACGTAAAGCAGTCGCAAGCCAACGGCTGGTTCGCGACGTGTCTTCTGTGCACCTGGAAACCCGTGTACACACAATGCCCATCACTTCTAGGCCCGGGCCAACCACTGCCTCCGGCTTTAGGTAGAAGCTATTTCACAGGCTGAGAGACAGTATACGGGAAAAATCCCATCGCAGGATGGGCCCAGAACGCTTGCATGCTCTGATGGTTATCTGGTGGGTGGGAGCAACAAGCTTAACAACAGGAACAGAGCGAGTGGGAAGGGAAGAGGGACTGACGGGCAGATGTGGAGCAAATTACCTCCCCAAAGGTTGGCAAAGAGCCCACTGCGCTAAATGTGCAAAAAACACCAAAGTAGCCTCAGACCAGATGTGCAAAACCATGACTCTAACCACGGACAGCAGCCAAATGAAATCAATTCAATATCTAAAAGGTTTTTTCACTGTATTCAGAAAATCAAATTAGGTTTTCCCAATATCTCCTGAAACGAGGTGAAGTAATTTAAATGTTTTCTGTGTAACGTTTTCCTTCCTCTCCCTTCACAGAAGCAGGAGTGTGATTGTTTTCCACCTCCACTTGGCAAAAGTGAGAAGATAGTTCCCGTGCTTTTTTGCTCCCTAGGCCGGATCACATAATCCTTTCCATTTCCTTAATTACTTCATTCAATTCCAGATAAATACCCCAAAGGCAATACCTGCCCTCCAGCCCACCTTTAAAAATGCCTGGAAAACTATGCTCTTAACAACTTTCACATGTAATAAAATTCTTCTTGTTACGTATAAAAGCAGTTGTTTGCTAGATTCAGTACAAAGTTGGGGTTCTCCTTTACCCCCTCTTTTCATACCTCATAGCTGATCCATCAACAAGTCTGTTGTCTTCGTTTCCAAAACTCACCGGGGATCCAGCCATTTCCCGCCTCCTCCACTGCTCTGTCTTGGTGCCAGACACCAGTCTCTTGCTGGGATGACTTCAACAACCATCTGCTTTACCTCCCTCCTTCTGCCCCAGGCCCTTTTCAATCTACCCTCAACACAACAGATAATCTGCCTTCTCCACCCCCCATCTGCCCCCATTAGGATGTGAGTGCCATAAAGCAGGGATTACTTTTTCTGGCTTGTCCACTGCTTGCTACATGCTCAGTACCTAGAATATTGCTGAACATATAAACAGCATGCGAATATACTGGTTGAATGAAGGCACAAATAAATAAGATATAGTTCTGAAAGAAGGAATTTTGACAAACATTATAAAAATGTTTCTTAATCTGTATACACTTTGCTGGAACTATACCTATGTTATCCATAAATTAATACATCCTGTTAATAAATTAATGCTTGCTGAAATTCACTTTCAAATGACCTCTGTCCTTCATAAGCTTTTAGTTACATATTTGGAAATACCCAATTTTTATCACTGTGTTTAGGATTACCAAGCTACAGTAGCTTTAGAAAAACAACAAAGAA